TTCTAAACCGGAAATTTTCTGACGGCCTTTAAACTTTCATCAATATCACAGTAGCCTCCGGGACCGGGTTATCCTTTCCTCCATCGTCCTGGGGTTCTTAAATTTGCTGAAACTGGCAAGATTCGCTGAGTCATATCATCATAGCCCCCGAGTCTCAAAGGTGACTCGAGGAGTTGGCTTGAGACTCTCCATATTTGACCGTGATATAAACCGGCATAACTTGTATATCATTGGCGTTGATAACACGATGTGAATCCATAGAAGGTTGAGGTGACTGCGGCGGGTTGCAAATGATCCCATATGAGCCGTGTCAGCAACTCGGCCAATGGTTTCTTCCAACCGGCGATTTGAAGTTAATCAAAACTGTAGTAGCGGCGACTTGTGCGCCTGCCCATTGAACCATCCAGTGCAAACGGCGGTTTGATGATAATTTGTCTCCGATTTGAAAGAAAACCGGGCTACCCAAGCTGTGACTTGCTCATACCCAATAAACAGCTCATGCAGATAGGTGCAGCCCGGTATGTTGATGTAGACCAGGCCGCAAGAGACGGACGACAAAAACGACCGCAACATCAGAGGCAGCTCGGACAGATGAGTCGGCCGCAGCATTGTAAGCTGGTGCAGACGGGGAAGATCGGCACCGGTGTCATAAACCGGCTTTGACGGGCGAGTTAATCGCGGGCGCGGTCCCGGCAAGCTGATGTAAACCGGGACACAGGGACGGCGACCTTCTCACATTCATTCACCGGGTGGTAGGACACGGACGAAACGCCAGTGCAGAATGTTGCTAGCGCGTGCTCCGTGCCCGTAACATAGCGCCTCATTTGTAACGAACAATTGTCCTGCATAAACAGTATTGCAGACCAAGGCAAAGATAAACTGCTCTTTGATAAAAATAATATGTGCTAATAAAATATATTTCATATGGGTATCACCTGATGTGTTTAGGCCAGAAATAACCCGCCATGAAGTTGATGATAACTGTATGAAGCTGAAATTAATCATGGGTGAACCGGCCGCAGTGTGGTAAACCGGTGCGGACGGGTGAATCGGCCGTGATGTTTGTAAACCGGTGCGGACAATGAGTCGGCCACATGCGTGGACGGATGTAAACCGAACAGCGGGGGCGGCGATTTGCATGTGTATCCGTCGAGTAGCATGGCTCGGAAGAACGCCACTGCAAAACAATGCTGGCACGCGCCCCAATGTCCGCGGTATAATAATACATTTGTCATAAATAATTATCCTGCATAAAAATATTGCAGCAAAGATAGATTGTTTTTTGATAAAAAACAATATGTGTTAAAAGTAGACTCGGATGAATATCACCTGATTTATCCGGACGACAAATAATCCGCGTGCAGGCTAGAATTTGATCGGACCAAATATCAGTGTGGATGTACCATGCATGGTTGTTATTCTGTCTCTCTTCCTCCATGCAATATCGGCAGTACGTCGACGACTCAGTGGAGATAGGCAGTAGAGGCGGCCAGCGGCTCAGCGACGGGCGTCTTGGCGCGCCGGTTAGCATCTTGAGACCGGCGATTTAATAGTGACGGCTCGGAGTGGTATGGTAGCAGCGGAGGCGGATTCGAGCCGGAGGTGGAACGAAGCCAGCTACAGGTCGTGGTTGGTTTGGATGGATTCACATCCGCGTCCTCCGGATCGTGGGCCCCTTTTTTTTAGGAGCGATGCTTTATAACCAGCCTACGTGTCTTTAGCCACTTTTGGGAATCGATGGTTGGGATGCTAATTTTGCTATGTCCACTACTTGTTGCAATGATCATGATTGAGGTGATTCTTCTTATGATCTTGAAAATTTATTTAAGCCCATGATGAATATGAGATTGATAATAATGTTTACAATAATATTGAAAGTGGGTTTGTAAGAGTGTCGACTTTAGATCCACATATTTGGAGAATGTTCAATCTTATGATGTTTTTGATAAAATTGGGTTTGGAGAGGTCATGACTTTAGTTAATGTTAGTGCCACTATTTTGGAAGAGTGTCAACTTTGCATACATGTGGATCGTGTTAAGAATATGTTTTGTGATAGCTATATTGTTGAATTTGCTTATGATCCTACTTGTAATTATTATGAGATAGGAAAATATGGTTGTAGAAAATTACATCTCGTTATGTTGAGATTGCTACTGTTTCTTTCCGCTTCCTTGCATATGCTAGTTTTTGCTTGCCTTGATAATTTTTTTGCCTATAAGATGCCTATGCATAGGAAGTATGTTAGAGTTAAATGTGTTTGTCACATGTTTTATGATGCTCTCTTTGTGTTTTAATTATTATCTTTCATGTGAGCATCAATAAAATCTTATGTGCCTAGCTAGGGGCGTTAAACGATAGCGCTTGTTGAGAGGCAACCCAATTTTATTTTTGTTCTTTACTTTCTGTTCCTGTTTAGTAATAAATAATTCATCTAGATTCTGTTTAGATGTGGTTTTATGTTTTAATTAGTTTTTTTGCCAAGTAGAACCTTTGGGAAGACTTGGGTGAAGTCTTTGCGATCTTGCTGTAAAAAACAGAAACTTCTGCGCTCACGAGATAGCTGCCATTTCTTATTGGAGAGTGCTTTAAGATTCGTTATTTTTGCAAAAGATTAATGGACAAATTTCTCAGGTCGTCCTCATTTTGCAGAATTTTTGAAGTCATAGAAGTATTCAAAAGTTACAGGTTGCTACAAACTGTTCTTTTTTGACAGTTTCTATTTTTCGTGTGTTGTTTGCTTATTTTGATAAATCTATGAGTAGTATCAGGGGGTATGGACCATAGAGAAGTTGGAATACAGTAGGTTTAAAACCAATATAAATAAAGATTGATTTCGTTACAATACGTTAAAGTGGTGGTTTATTTTCTTAGACTAACGGAGCTCATGAGAATTTCAGTTGAATTTTGTGTTGTGAAGTTTTCAAGTTTTTGGGTAAAGATTTGATGGATTAGGGAATAAGGAGTGGCAAGAGCCTAAACTTGGGGATGCCCAGGGCACCCTAAGGTAAAATTCAAGCACAACCAAAAGCCTAAGCTTGGGGATGCCCTCGAATGCATCCGCTCTTTTGTCTTTGTCTATCGGTAACTTTACTTGAGGCTATATTTTTATTCACCACATGATATGTGTTTTGCTTGAGCGTCTGGTATGATTTGAGTCTTTCCTTTTTATTTTACCACAATCATTCTTGCTGTACACATCTTTTGGGAGAGACACACATAAATCGAAATTTATTAGAATACTCTATGTGCTTCACTTATATCTTTTGAGCTAGATAATTTTGCTCTAGTGCTTCACTTATATCTTTTTAGAGCACGGTGGTGGTTTTATTTTATAGAAATTATTGGTCTCTAATGCTTCACTTATATTATTTTAAGAGTCTTTTAGAACAGCATGATAATTTGCTTTGGTTATAAAACTCGTCCTAATATGATGGGCATCCACTACACCACGACACTACAAAGACGACATGCATCTGTTGGCATAACTATGCATTAGCGACACATTATCTGTCCATAACAACACCGACACATTGATTATCAGGGTTGCTCTAGAGTGCCGACGTTCTATCTGTCGGCAATGCATAAAGGTTTGCGGACATACCATGTGTCGGCATATGTTTTTTTATAGATGCATTGTGTGTCGGCGTTTCTTTGTGATGGAAAAAGTGTCGGCGTTGCTTGGGCTTGGCCCACCTGAAAACATCGGCGCGGCAATAGAGTGGTGTGCGCGCCACGCGAAACCCCGAATCAAGTCTGGCATTCCCATTTTCTCAAAAAAAAAAAGTCTCCCATTGCCACGCCAGCATCCCTCAAAAGAAAAAAAAAAACTCCCCACATCTCACATCTCACCTCTATCTCGATCCCCCTCCCCCGCGTCCGAATCCCAAACCCTAACCCACCTGCGCCGACGACACCATCCCCCCGCCGCCGATCTTGACCTGCACGCTGCTCAGCTCCAGCCATGGCATCTCATACCCCCAGCGTCCCCTTCCTTATCCCGCCGTCAGGTCGTAGGATTTGCCCCGCCGTCCGCTGCCATGGATCTGCCGCCAAGTCCGCTTCCGAGGAGCCACCGTCCGCTCCTGCTGTTTCCCGGCAGGGCAGCTGCTGCTGAGGAGTCCGCTGCCGAGGAGCGGTCGTCCTGTCCGCTTCCTTGGAGTCGTCCGTAGCTGAGGAGCAACCGATGTACTTCCTTGAGATTGACCCCCTTGTCCTTCTCAGCCTCCAGAACGCTGTAGGTAAGCTGCACGAGGAGATTTTCTCCTTTTAATGTTCGTTATTTCCCTTGCTTCTGTAAGAATTGATGGATCTAGTGCTATTTCTTTTATGAAATTCTCTTTGAAATTCCAACTTCTGTTTATGAAACAGCTTGATCTCACCCGCAACTGAATGTAGTTTGATTTATTTTTGTGAAATCAGGTAAACATATTCGATCTGTGAATGTTCAGGACTAGCGTCTGCTTGACTGACTACCAGGTTAGTAACAAGAGTTGTCAAACCATTGTAGTTCTATGAAGCCTTTCTTTTTAATGGTTGCTGAAATATGTAGTATTGCATTTACAAAAGAAAAATATTTTCTTATTATTGCTTTTATTTCAGTGATCCTATTTAATACTCGGTGTAGTAGCTTGTCATGTTACCCTGTTTACATGATATTCAGGAGGAAGTAAAATTGGGTTTGATAGATGTTGTTACTACTAACAATGCACAAAGAGGACTGGAATGGGTTTATTTTTATTGTGAAAATCCCAACGTACAATTAGTGGGTTCTGGTTAGTAGTGTATTATCCGATTGAGTTCATGATTTTTTATGGGCTTGCATCGCTCTCTGCATCGCATAAGTTCCAGGACTAACTTGAAAGGTTGTTCCTTGTATGCATTTTCCCGTCATGAATCCATGCTAATTTTAAATTTGTGATGCTAGATACGCCATTCGTGCTCTTGCAGGTGGCGAAGATAAAGACTGGCTTTGGCGTGTTGTTGCACAGTGCACCGGTGGATGCGCAAAGATAAACCAGAATATGTAATGGTAAGTTCTAAACTTTTCAAAGTGCTCATAACGCCAATTACAGATTGTGTTAGCACTTAGCACATGATTTCACTCGTATTTCAGCTTTCAACCACGCAGCATGCAAAGCTTGTTTGGTTGACATTGCTGCTATTATGATATGCAGGGGATTGGTTATCCACTTGAAATTGTAGTACGCAGGGCTTCGGGTGCAGATCTGTATGACTATGTCTATCCAACACGCACTGCTCTCTTTGGGTCTGCACTTGTAGGAAAATCTGTTCCCGACGGTTCAATGCAATTCAAGCTAGAGAACCGGTTGATGCATTTTCTTTTAGCATCGATAACTATAAATTTCAGTCTTTTGCTTGAAACATTCTATTGATCATTGGCATTCAATGAACTTATCTCCCATTAGTCTGATATGGATAAGACCACTTTAAGTCGATTACCACTTTTTCCGTGCTTTCCTCACTCCGCGTAGCAACTGAAATGAGAGGTGTGACTGAGTGAGTGGGAGGGGTCATTGTTTCCTCTAGAAACACCATAAGCTAGATTTATTGATAAATGATTTGGTGGTGGTGCAATAGGGACCCTCGCATTTATGCTTGTTGGGTATACTTTCGAAATTATCCATGCTTGTTGTAGAAGTAGGCATGTTTATAGCAGGTTTATGTTTTAGGATTATTATGTGAAGGTAGTCTTAATTTCTAACTTGTGCTTATCTAGTTTATCTACTTCAACTCTAATTCCTGGTGATGATTTATGTAACTTCCTTTCCTGCATCTTCTTACAGTGTTCTGAAGCTGAAACAAAATGCAATGGTAATTGATGAACGGCCCATTGATACTTCCTGTCCATATATGGTATAGCTTCAACACGACCAGCACTCCTATTTCATCTTTTATAGTGATCCCTACATGTTAAAGAGAGCTTTGTTTGTGTTGCCTGTAGTGTGGTTCAGGGTTTCAAAAGTAGATGCCGAGCTACCTAGATACTGTGATGCTTCTGCATGAGTGGTGTTAGTTTTATTGTACTTTGCAGTTTGTTTTATGTTCTCTTCTGTCACTTCACGTCTTGGTATATTCTTCCTTGGTTCCCCATTATTCAAGTTTTTGTCTATTTAATATGTAATGAATACTGAAATTTTTGTTTCGACATTGACAATTTGAGTTTCTACATTTCACTGGTAGTTGTGAATCACTCCTGAAGGTACATCCATGAGGGACAAAAGGTTATTTGGCGCTAGCAATTATTAACCACATCTAATCTGATGCATGTATATCATGTAGGAAGATGATGACTTGTTCATCCAGAAGCGTGTACCACCTAGAAGCCATGCAGGCCTTGAGGAATTCAGAGCAAGTTTGGTTCGCGGCCTGGTTAAGTCTCGCCTGGCCTAGACGTTGCATGCTTGCATGTAGGTTGTTTGGTGCAAATACTGAAAAAGCCTGGCATAGCCTAGCCTGTAGTTTGCATGCTGGTGATTAGCCTGGGCAGTACAGCCAGGGGGTAGTTAGCCTGACCCAGGCATGGGAATTTGGGTGCCTCGTCACACGAAGGAGCTCATGCACTTACAGTAGTAATAGCACATTAGATATGATGACTTGATTAGTAAAATATATTCTCATAATTGTGTCTTCAGCTTAGTTCCAATATGCAATATGAAATTTTGTAGTAGTACTGCTGTAGCTAATCGTGCCCAAGTATTAAATTTACATATGTTTTGAACTTTGCAAGTGCATATGTATGCAAATTTCAAAGCATATGTAGCTTTTGGAACTGAGCTGAAGACAGTCATATTTGGATTGTTTATAACTTTCTTATTGTGAATATTTGAGAGCCCATGCAAGATGGTAAGATGAACTTTGCCTACATATGCACCTGAGAGCACGTGCATATTATAAGTACCAGTTTACAGTACCATTTACTACACAACTTAGTACATTCTATTAACAAGTGCATATGTGATTGTTTGCTGATTGGGGAACTTCAAATGCAATGCTCTATATAGTTACAATAAGAACCTTATTCATGATGCCTTATAACAGATTTGATTGCTTATCAATCAGGGCATAAATTTTGATCGTAAGCCATGTGAACCTTACTCATGATTCCTTATAACAGATTTGATTGCTTATCAATCCGTGCATACATTTTGACTGTAAGCCATGTGATATGCTAGGTGCTAGCTTGGCTTGGGTTGATGTTCAGATAAGGACATATTCTTGTTACCTGTTTGTTGTAAATCTACTTTTTAGATCTTTATGATCAAGGGCCAATCACGAATTTGAACAACTTCTCATTTTCGAAGATTGCTCAAATATATGAGTTCTTTTGTAGGGACAAATGGAAAAAGTAGCAAGTCCACAAGTTGATGTAAGATGTTCAAGTGACCGCTTTTGTTTAACATGGTTGGCACATTCTGTTCATATGGAAGGTGATGTGAGCTTGGTGGTCAAAGACTTGGTCTCTTCCGTAATATTTTGTAGTACTCGAGTGATCAAACAATTGGTCTCTTAGGAAATGGCCATCATATTTTGTAACAGGCCTTGGCATGAATGTTGACTTGTGTATTTCGTTAACGATTGTAGCTAACTTGAGTGAAGAAAACTAACGGATCTTCTATACATGAATGAATGCATTGATCAATGGTATCTTGTGATGAATAGGAGTGTAATTGTTTGTATATGTATTGTATTGTGTACTAAACAAGAATTGAATATTAGAATGTAATTCCATTCAAAATATGGTGCATTTGCATTTGTGCTGAAACGTAAAGCCCTGATAGCAAATGTGTCATTAGAACTATTGGACGTCGCAGTATCTGTCGGTATAGCACACTGACAAGGGAACTGTCGTTGTAGCAAGGGACGGTGCACAATCTGTCGGCATAGCGCAGTGTCAGATGAACTGTCGGCATAGAATATTCTGTCAGTGTAGAAATGTCTGTCGGCATAGATGTCACCAATGTCGTCATACTTTCTGTCGGCATATGTTTATCTGTCGGCAAAGACCTTTCCCGGCAGGACTATAGGCGACAGCTTCTTTCTGTCGGGAATGTTTTTTGCCGACACTAAATGTGTCGCCTTAGGTGACCTACGCCAATAGATTGTTTGATGCTGCTTTGAGTGTCGTGGTGTAGTGATCCAAGATGGGTATAATAAAAACTTTCATATAAAGTGCTTGGATGCTATGAGAAGTTTGATACTTGATGATTGTTTTGAGACACGAGGATGGTGATATTAGAGTCATGCTAGTGAATTAGTTGTGAATTTGAGAAATACCTGTGTTGAGGTTTGCAAGTCTCGTAGCATGCACGTATGGTAACCGTTGTGTAACAAATTTGAAGCATGAGGTGTTTCTTTGATTGTCTTCCTTATGAGTGGCGGTCGGGGACGAGCGATGGTATTTTCCTACCAATCTATTCCATAGGAGCATGCGCGTAGTGCTTGTTTTTTGATGACTTGTAGATTTTTGCAATAGGTATGTGAGTTCTTTATGACTAATGTTGAGTCCATGGATTATACGCAATCTCACCCTTCCACCATTGCTAGCCTCTCTAGTACCGTGCAACTTTCGCCGGTACCATAAACCCATCATTTACCTTCCTCAAAACATCCACCATACCTACCTATTATGGCATTTTCATAGTGTAACATCCCAAATTTTCAATTTGAAATGTTATACATAGATCATTTGTGCATATCATATTTTATTGCATTTCACTTCTCGATCCTCGAAATCCTAAGCAACTCAAGGACCCTCGGAGAGAGTTGGGGATTTCCCTGTTTTCATATTTGAGTTTTATCAAATATTGAAACAAGGATTTTTGGTTTTAATTATTTTTCTATCCGAAAATATTTCATATCAAAATATATGAGAGGAGATAATATAACTTCTCCAAAATAAATGAAATATTGGAGGAAAAATATTAAAATCAAATATTTGATTTTATTCCGAGTTTATTGCTATTTTATTTGAATTAGAAAAATTATACGTTTTTCAAAGTTCATTTTAGGGCCAAGAAAATGTTCATCTTGTTCTAAATATTTTATTTAGATGGTGAAAAATTGTTTTGGCATTTTTAGATTTTTTTTATTTTCTAGGATTTATTTAGTTCCGGCGATATTATTTAAAAAATATCGCAGTGCCCGACTGGGCCGAGGCCCAGCCGCGCCAGGCCGCCGACCCACCTCCCCGCGCCGCCATCTCCCACCCGGAGACCGCGCCCGCCGCCGCCGCTCGCCGTGGCCGAGTTGGCCACGCGCCCCTCCCCCTTCCCCAAGCCACGCGACCCCCCTCCCCTCTTATAAGCCAACCCGAGGCCCCCCTG